ATTACTATAAATATATAATAATTTTTTTTTGAGATTTCATAACATAAAAAAAAAATTATCTTCACATCGTCTCGCGTGTATCCATGACTACTAGATAAAGCGCTTGATACCGGTACAAATACTCTATCTAGGAGAAAATAACGATCAGTATCATCGATCTGTTGTTATTACCTAAAATTTAGTATGAAGTTTCTCATATTTATTACTTCTGTTTCCCATATTCTGGGTAAGTATTATTTTTATCTTATATCTTGTTTAAATTTAAAATTTATATTTACTTGAGTGATGTACCTAATCGTTAGGAATCTGGGCGTTTCCCAAAGAATCTGATATTGTTAAAAGTGAAGAGAGGATTATCGGAGGAAACCCAACCACTATAGAAGAGTTTCCGTATAATGCACAGTTATATGTTTCTTTTCAATTTTGGTGCGGCGCTTGCATTATTTCACCAAAATGGGCCCTCACCGCAGGGCATTGTACTTATCAGTGAGTAAACGACAAAAAAAATCAAAGCACTTTGGCACAAAAGTGCATCACCAATCACCACTTTTAGGGCTTCATTTGTAGCTGTTGCGTTCCCCACTTATATACATATATGTATTTTATTTAAATTTTTTGTCTATGTTTGTGTGTATTACGATATTGGTATTGGATTGACTTATTTGCATACAATTTTGCATGTTTATCTAGTTTTAAGTTAGAGATAAATTTATAAATCCAAAAACAAGTTTGGTAGTAGTAGTAGTACTACTATTACTACTTACAACTTTGAAATTTTTCTGTTCCTATAATAGTAACAAAACCTGCACAAATAAGCCTGTTATATATATATTACGATATATTATTAGAAAACTCAGCAAGATATAAATATCTATTATTATTAATTGACGGTGATGATTAAACCGCGCACACGTGTATGATCTGCCTTCGCCTACATGTGATAGTGTTATATCTCATCGAAAATATTTCGACGTCAATAGCACTATAACAAGATAAAAACATATAACGTTACTAATACATACATTGTCATTTTCAGCTATCAAAAATTCTAACAATGCCTCCATTTCACAGGCTACTCTCCAAAAGTAATTACTCTCGAGCCGCCTTTGTGAACAGATTTTTACCTAAACGTCTAATCTCATACCGTCTTTCTGCAGTGATGCTAATGACTATTTCGTAAGATGTCATGACTACTTAAGTAGTTTAGCTTGCTTTTATGCATGGTAGAGTATCTGTGCATTAAGACAATGTTTCCAACATTGAACCGTACATTATGATGCCTCTTGTCGTTGATTATTTCAGACACGGCCTAATGCTTTCCGTACTATTTCACGGTCGGTAGATTGTTCTGATAAGAAGAAAATCATCGTTAAGATTTTATGTTTATTGGAGTGCCTTAAGGACGTTCCCAAAAAAAATTTTCTTACGATCATCTTTAAAATTTAATTGTAAATACCTGCCTGTATTCTGAACGCATCACGAAAAATTTCCATCCATTTTGCGGTACTAACATTGAAAATATTAGCATTTTAAATTTCTATTTGAACGTACGTTAATTTATACATTTCATACTAATTGATGTAGGTTTTTGTGTCTAACAAGTTTAATTTTCTTACATTTTTTTTTAAATTTCGAGAATTAGGCAGATCATACTCACACAAATAATTTCCATAGAAAATCGGTACAAGAAGTAAAGTAAATCTCAGACTCAGACTCTCCTGCATAAGCTGATCAGTAGTGTGCGACTTGGCTACGCTGCAACAGCGCGGGACGTTTAAGTTGGTTATCCTAAACTGTAGAACCTGTAGCGTGTTTTCATTTCTGATTTCTTTTAACAATATTAAAATTACTATTAATATTTACTCGATTATTATTAATATTACAATTACTAATAATATTGATTATANACCGAGTTACAAATCCAAATTTATTTAAAGCAAATCTAGCCAAGCAAAGCAATATATTCTATTAAAAAATAGTCGTAAATTGTTATATATGTGTATAGTTTAAATAATGTGAAGAATAAAAACCCAAAAGAAAGGCGATGATGTTAGTTTATATATCCCAAAGCATAAAACGGTGCAGGATACGAGATACTACAACCACCAAGGGGCAGCTTTAATGGAAAAGTAGCCCCTTGACTGATTTCATTATTTGAACCTACTTCCCCTTGAATTACAAACTTGAAATTTTGCGGCATAAGATGGTTTATTAGCACAAATAAAGAAAGGAATTGTTTATTTCATTTTTCATTTTTGTGAAATTGTTATTCAAAGACCTTACCTACCAGTGCGACGTACTCAAGCGTTCTTGTAGATTAGATGTCGACATATGTTTTCTTGACTACGGATGAAATTCAACTAAATAAATGTCAGAATACGTTATGGATTTCTTTGACATATGATATCCTTTTTTGGTTAAGAGATTGGAAGAAACTATTTTTTTCGAATATGTTAACGTAATGTTTTGTAATTTATTTATATAGGTATATTACTTACCTATACATTATTTTCAAGCGGGTGACTTCAAATTATAGAACGGGTCACTCAGTGATTCCTGACTCATTTATTGTCGACGCCTGGTCTAGATCATACTTAAGCATTCAGGAGTATACCAATTTAATTTCGGATCGGACTAGTCCATAGATAAATAATAAATAATTTTTTATCATGTTACCGAGGATAGATCTTTTTGCGTGCTATAAAATAACGGAGATATTTATGGGCTTTTTTCAACCGTTTCTAAATCAGGAGGCAATTAAAGTAGTTATTGAACTCATGCGCTGAAGTTATGGGCATGCGCAGAAATCAGTTATTCAAAGACAATGACTTCCTAATCACTAAATTATTGACTCTTATTTTGTCAACTAACTATCAATTAAATGACAGCTATTCGCACAAACATGACAACAAATAGTATACGTACCTCGGCAAGAAACAGGGTTATCTCAGACTGCATGTTGGCAATTCACATGCAGTCTGAAAAACCCCTGTTTCTTCCCTCGATACGTAATGTACTATTGGTTTTTATTATCATTTTGTTTGCACCACATCTCTTTCATTTCCCCGTTTGCTAAAAGGAGACTGAAAAATCGGCCAATTTTTAAACTAGACCGTAGGTTGGATGAACTACCTTCCACCAGCATCAGTAGGTGATGGGAATAAATCATAAAGTAGTTTTAATAAGAAATAGAAGGTGGAGAGTATAGTAAAGCGATAAATAAGCGAAATAAGAATCACCTTAATTGCCAGTTTCTTTAGTTTTCTCTCTCATATCAACATTCCCGCCTTTTAACATTCGCACTAGGTATTAACAATTGTTTTTTATATCAATACCCATTTTAAACATTCGATTAGTATAAATTGCTAAGCTATGTAAACCATATAAGAACCGTCGAGATGTCTGTGCCCCACATTAGAACTGGACAAAACACGTCCCTGCATTTAAAAGTTTCTAAGGTACATAGTTAGTATCAACCATTCGTACACTTCTCGATTTCTCAGCATTTGTCGTTTTTGAGACCAAATGCAGTAGTCTCTGGGAAATCGAGATCAAGAACCATAGATACTAATTATTTTGTTGTTTATATAGACAAAGTACAAGTAACGTTTCATTACGTGTCGGTGCAACCGAGTATAATCAAACTGCAAATGAACCAGTCACTCTAGCTGAGATATATCTTCATCCGTTGTACAACGATGCAACGCTAGACTACGACATGAGCATTCTCCTTCTGAATGAACATCTGATATTTGGAAAAAGAATTGCTGCAATTGCTTTACCACCATGCAACGTAGTTTTACCTGCTGGAACAATGGCTACCGTTTCTGGTTGGGGTCGTTTAGCATATGAAGGTGACGATCCAACACAACTGCAGGAAGTGACTGTGCCAATCGTTACGAATGAAGAATGTGCTATAAGTTATAGTAACGATACGGGAGTTTATGTTACTGATAGAGTTTTATGTGCTGGTTATGAAGAAGGAGGCAGAGGCGGTTGCAATGTAAGTAGGAAAATTAAAAATGTAAACCAGTAATAGGCTATTCCTGAAATGGAATACTGAACCTCCTAATGACTTGTCATATAGTAATAACAATAGTTGATTATCATTCATTGTTTTGAAATGAATTTCATTATAGTATCTATAAGTAATGTGTATATAGCACTTTGACATTTTTGATAGTGGTTAATATGAAAAATTATTTTTTAATTTTTTACTGACAATAAACTATCTCAGGTTAATGAGGGAAAACTTTGTTGCTGTTGTGACACCATCGCCGGGAATCGAACACGGCATCTTTGACTTTTCGTACCAACGCTTTAACCACTAAGCTACGAGAGATGACAACAGCAACAACACAAATCGTACTTATTAGGTCACAGATCTGTCGAACTAACGTAATTATATATTATACTAGCAGCGAAACCCGCCGTTGCTCGGGTTATTACACATCGCGTGTTTAATGGTATCTAGAACTTTCTGGAATATTCCATATCGATTTTAACAGTTGCACACAATTTGGAACATTCTAGATCATTCCAGAAATTTTTAGAACCTTCTAGAACATTCTAGATCGATTGTAATAGTTGGTTGGTAGTGATAGAGAAAACCCTGTCTTTACGTACCCACATTAGTATTTTTTATATATATGAAATGTTTGGAAGTTTGACATAGCGCCATCTATTGAATATTGCGATCATAAATTGAGATGTAAGCTTTCCTATCTTTCAAGTTGGATCAAATTGCACACGGCGTACCAATTTGATTAAAATCGGTGAAGTAGTTTAGGAGTCCATCGCGGACAAACACCGTGACACGTAATTTATATATATTAAGATTAATATGAAACACTTTGCAATTTTAAAATGAATTTTTCATAATAATATTCTATAAGTAATCCTTAATGGAATATATTAACGAAAAACTACTTTGAAACGAAAGAAAAATTATAGTGAAATAACATACGTTTTAATTTTTAGTAATTGTTCTTAGTAGATAGAAGGAGTGGTTTATAATATAAGTATGTAATTTAGAAATATCACAACGAATGCAAGTAATTTTAAATGTTAATACGGCATTAAATCAATTCGAAAATCAAATAAATTGTTAACCAATTCCGAATAGTTTGAAAATTTTTTGAAGGCTATTAGTGAAGATGAGATTACTCGTAGCAAATAGATAAGGATATGGGTTGTTCTAGTTTTAGGGTAATGCTAAGAATAACTCACAATCAGAATAGTAAAGAGCTTGTCCAACCAGTCTTAGGACTGACGACCTTATGATGATCATGCATATCTCCTCATCAGTGATTGTGATGCTTAGTGAGGTTATGGTTTAAGTTTAAAAGATAGCCGTAAACTATTCATTCCTACGTTTTGATTGCACAGAAGTTAACAAGTTTCGCCTCGATTTTGTGTTACAAGCCAAAAACGTGTTTCGTTTTAGGGTGATTCTGGAGGGCCACTGACAGTGAATGGTGTACTGTACGGATTGGTTTCTTCCGGTGTAGGTTGTGCTGAAGCCGGATTTCCGGGAACCTATGTCAATGTTTCAAGTCTACGTTCCTACATCGCATCAGTTACAGGGCTTTAGCTGCATTGTTTTGATAACATACTGTTAAATGATTTTACTCAATAAAGAAACTTAATCGTGTTGCAGCTTTCATTATTTACAAATAAAGAAATTTAGCCCTCAAACATGGGCGTATCCAGCTTTTGGTCACGTGGGGGGGGGGGGGTTAAATGACATACATTGGGTGTGTTCCGAAATATAATCCGGCATACCGACCAGTGCTGATGACGTTATAAATAGACGCCATATTGTACTGGTGTGCCACCATATTGTACTGGCGAAACAATTGTGACGTAGTAGTATATCAAACGGGCATGTGTGCATCAAACATTGAAGAATTTTTTTATTGTAAGAAACTTTAATAACTTTAGGAGTAAAATTGTTGTAAACGAGCAACAACACTATTCTCAATAAGGCGTCAATTTGACGTCAACGTACTTGCCAGTATATTTCGGTACGAATCAACAATATGGCGTCGATTCATGACGTCATCAGTACTGGGCAGTATGCTGGGTTATATTTCGGAACACACCCATTGTCACGAATTTAAACTCCTTCTCGCACTATTATAACTTATATTAAACTATTTTCTATCTAATTAACACTTCTATTATTAATTAATTATCAATTCACTACAATACGACCACTTTGTCACTTATTTACTTACTCTTCGCTTTGTAATGTCTCGACATGTACTAACACCACTCGATCTAGCGATTTATAGAGACTTCACGTTTTCTAGAATTTTCCAGCATATGCCGTCTAGAAACCTGATATTCTTTGCCACTATGTATGTTGGGTTGCCTACATTTATGTGGCAATATATATACAACAGTTTTATATTTTAAAAATTAGTATATTTCTGTAAACACTGTTTTAACAAACAAGATTTGATTTGACTATGATGACTCTAATCGAAAGAAGTTGTCATATCTTTTTCATCCAACCATACGGCATCATCGTCATCATCCAAACAAATAATTTCTCTGGCATGTCTAGCAACAATTCTTTAAGGACGAATCTTGGTGACGGGTAAAACTTTAACTTGCTTCTTGTGTGATTGCTTGTGTTGGTTAGTGGACTTGTGTAATGCAAAATATAGACCACAGATACCACACGATCGCTTAAACAAGTATATAAGATTTTGAAATGTGACATCACGAAACTTAGGACCCCTCCCAATCCGTGTCACTAAATGTCACACTTTATCAACCCTCCTCCATTCCTCTTAACGTATGACGTACTTTATGCACGACTCCTTATGGGGCTACGCACAAAATTGAGGGGATATTGCTACGTAGTGGAGTTTTAAGGAAACTCAAAAACTATTTTAGACTTTAAAACATATTTCAAAATGAATGAAATATTTCATAGTTATAACGTTGCAATTATTTTAAAATTCATAAAACATATATCGAGTTCATCTACTAGCAAAATAAACATATTGGCATTATGCAACAACGAAACAGTAAGCGAAAAAGATTTTTTCAAAGAATTATATGTGTACAAGCAGAAATTAACGTAAATTCGATAGTTCTGGGTACTGTAAAAATTATGTAACTTTACGAACTCATCGAAAGAGACAAAGAAGGTTTCTAACATATTGTAGTTTTTAGGCTTTCACGGCCGGCGTATATCGATGCGGTGTTTTCTTCCGGGCATTTCTTTGAGACGACTGCCTTAGAGACAGCCAAATATAAACCGACTGATTGGTATCGATATATGAATGATACTTTCGTCGTCTGGCCACATGGAGAGGAAAAACTGAACAAATTTTTAGATTATCTGAACAACCAGCATCAAAAGATACGCTTCACAAAGGAACAGGTGAGAGATGGAAGGATTACGTTCCTAGACGTCGTTGTGAAAAGAACTAGTACAGGTCAACTTGCTCACGGTGTCTACAGGAAACCCACACATACAGATAGGTATCTGAACACTGCTTCCAACCACCATCCAGCCCAAAAAGGGACAGTCATCAAAATACTGGTTAACAACGCTAAACTCATCGCGGACAAAGAACATCTACAGCCGGAATTAGACCACCTACAGAAAGCTCTACAAGCAAACAGTCACAGCTAGGGAATAAAAACAACATTTCTACCCGCCCGCAAGATTCGAAATGGACTACGATCAGCAAAAGACCCTCTAGATCCACTACTAACACCAGGAGTTTGCCGTACACCCTGTGAATGTGGTGAAGACTACATTGGGGTGACACAGGGCAGCATATTGACAAGGAGGAAAGAACACGAAAGAGCCATCAGATTACTTCAACCCGAGAAATCACCTATAGCTCAACACGCGCTTGAGGAAGGCCACACCATAGAGTTCAAAGACACAACTGTCATGATTAGAACGTCGGTTTTCTACAATTTGGCTAGAAGGGAAGCTCTGGAAATTGAACAACACTCTAATAACATAAACAGAGATGATGGCTTACGTAACAGCAAAGCTTGGAAACCAACATTGAAAAATAAACAGTGTGCTACCAACCGAAGAGGACCGGATCAACATAACAACATGGACGCAGTAAACCATAAAACCACTCACCATAACGACTCCAGTATAAGAAGGGTAATTCGTTCTCCCCACCATTACAGGAATTCATAGCAGCAATTACAAATTCCTTTAAGGACCACTTGGACCATCGCGAAAACTCAGAAATCAGCAATCTCTTAAACATTACATCAACAGATAGGTACATAAAACTACCTTTACAATTAAAGTCCCCCTATATCACAAATTACATAACGAATGTGCAAAGGAGCTAGGCTCCCGCACCTATGAGCTCAAACTGCATCAGTTACTACTCAGCACCTGCCCAGTCACCACTGAAGATTCCGTAATCAAAGAATGGCGAAACGTTTAGAAAAGTACAATTCCATGGACCACGGCCAAAAAGTCCGAAAGAAAAAAATGCATCGGTATTCTAACATAGTTACAATAAAAAACAAAATCAGCTAAATCAAAGAAACTCCTAGAACCAGTGAATGACCCATGTTGAACTATGTACAGGCCTGGCGCTGGAAGCTGGCGGAAATTTTAAAATGGCGTGGATGCGCGGTGGCAAAAGTAGGCAGTTTTGGGTATAACGATTGCAGCCCTCCTTCTTCAGTATTCCTATCAGGGGCGTAGATTAAATATTTAAAAATAAGGATCAGTGAGCAAGTAATAGTCAGACAAACAGAAGAACTAATTGTTGATGTTGGTGACAGTGATAGAGATTCCCATGATGAGAGTGAATGTGAAAACTAATTATAAAACAAAAGCAACAGGTTAATTTTTTCTTTTGGATAAGTCATGTTTTTACATTATTTTCTAGTACACTACTGTCCTATCTGCATTTATACTAAAATTTACGCCTACTGAAAGCTTATTTGTGTATCGGTTCCAAGTGACTTACCCAAATAGGTCATAAATGGGCAAGTACCTGCGCGACCGCTCGCCAGCTTCCTTCGTCAGACCTGTACAAATATTTACTGATTCATCAGTAAGTTTAGCGCGTGAACGGGGATCGACGGATTAATCACGGACCGACGGATCGACTCGGAAACGCGTTAACGAAAAGACTCTACACTTAAGGAATTACAGGTAGGACACCCTTGGTGGTACTACCTCCCGGTCCAGATGATCGTAACGCTCCTATCACCTTTTAATGTGTATTGATTTGCACTGAATGTAAAATCCTTTTTATAAACATTTTCATTCAATTTTCATTTATAACATTATCTATCTAAATTACTTGACAACTCACCCTAGATCCATTTGTAATTTATGCCTTTTTGAATTTCATATCTATTTCACTTTACTATATAATAAAGTTGTTACTGTTTTCAAATCTCGCCTTTCTTACCATTTCAGTTCCTTACGGCCAGTCACGACAAAATGATAAAAACAAATTTTAACCAGGTAATTAAAATAAATAATTAACAGAAAACCCAAAGTAACAATTGACCTCGTGACAATATATTTCAAACAACTACAAAAAGAAAATAAAAAACATTATCTTCACATCGCCTAACGTGTTGTAACGATTACTTCATAAAACGATTGATACGGGAACAAATACTAGAAATAAGAAAATAGCGATCAGTGTCATTGATTGTTGGTAGTTACTTACTTAAACTTTATTATGAAGATCTTCCTGTTCATATTATTAATAGTTTCCCTGTTTCTGGGTATGTATTATTATATGTTTTAAAGTTGAAATTAGTTAAGTGATATAATTGTTATAGGAATCTCGTCCTTCCCTGGACAAGCTGATATCGTCAATAATAACGTTAGGATTGTCGGTGGAAAACCAACTACTATAGAAAAGTTTCCGTATAATGCACAGTTATATCTTTATGATCAATTTTCGTGCGGAGCAACCATTGTTTCACCAAAATGGGTCCTCACCGCAGCGCACTGTACTTATGAGTAAGTAACAGATCAACTGAAAAGTCCTCGGCCTAAAATAGTAAAACACATTTTTTTTGCAAAATTCGTTTTTTTTATTCAACATAATTCCCTTTAAGGGTGATACACTGATTATAGCGATCCTCCAACTTTTCGATACCATTTTTGTAGTACGATTTGTCCTTTGCTTCAAAACAGGCCTCAGTTTCGGCGATCACCTCTTCATTCGACGAAAATTTTTTCCCAACGAGCATTCTTTTGAGATCTGAGAACAGGAAGTAGTCGCTGGGGGCCAGATCTGGAGAATACGGTGGATGCGGAAGCAATTCGAAGCCCAATTCATGAATTTTTGCCATCGTTTTCACTGACTTGTGAGACGGTGCATTGTCTTGGTGAAGCAGGACTTTCTTTTTCTGCAAATGCGGTCGTTTCTCGGCGATTTCGTCCTTCAAACGGTCCAATAACGCTATGTAATAGTCGCTGTTGATGGTCCTTCCTTTTTCAAGGTAGTCAATGAAAATTATTCCACGCGCATCCCAAAATACAGACGCCATAACCTTGCCAGCCGACTGTTGCGTTTTTGCACGCTTTGGAGCGGGTTCATCGTGTGCAGTCCACTCCGATGACTGTCGATTGGACTTCGGAGTGAAATGATGGAGCCATGTTTCATCCATTGTCACATATCGACGCAAAAACTCGGGTTTATTACGCGTGATCATCTTCAAACACTGCTCTGAATCATCAACTCGTCGTTGTTTTTGGTCAAAAGTGAGCTCGCGCGGCACCCACTTTGCACAGAGCTTTCTCATACCCAAATATTCGTGAATGATGTGATGTATACGTTCCGTTGATATCTGTAGAGTGTCTGCTATTTCATTCAATTTCAATTTACGGTCATTCAAAATCATTTTGTGGATTTTTTTAATGTTTTCGTCCGTAACAGCCTCTTTTGGGCGTCCACTGCGTTCACCGTCTTCGGTGCTCATTTCACCACGTCTAAACTTAGCATACCAATCCTTGATGGTTGATTTTCCTGGGGCAGTGTCCGGAAATTCGTTATCAAGCCAAGTTTTTGCTTCAACTGTATTTTTTCCCTTCAAAAAGCAATATTTTATCAACACGCGAAATTCCTTTTTATCCATTTTTTTCACAATAACAAAAGTTGCTTCACTAAAAATGCTATAATTCACAAACTAATGATCCGACAGCCGTCATAGACGCGTCTTTTGAAGGTTAGGACTAACTGAAAATCATATGAATTTAGTTCTGGTGCCGCAATCTATGTGTCAGGCTGGGGACTTTTCAATTGACCCTAGTAAATAACGAAAAAGTAAAAACACCTTGACACGGGAAAATAAGTAATAATTGATTGGTATCTTCGTACCTCACAATCAAAATGCGGCCCTTTTACTGATTTCATTGTTACTATTAAGTTGAAATTTCAGCGAGTAGAGGTCTTCATAGCGTCAATAAGAAAGATCGTTAGTTTCTTATGTCATGTGAATCTACTACTCATAAACATAACCTATCAACGTGGCGTAATCAAGCGGCCTGGATCAACAATAATAGGAGCTTTAAGAAGACTTTACGGCTTAGTGGTATTAACTTTTTAAAACAGATTTTTTTATGATTAACATCACCGAGGAATCAGGTCCTACAAGTACTTACAATAGAAACATACGATTTGTTGAGATATTGTCGCTGAATTCCACCTGTCTGCTACTTTTGCTTTGTCATCAATTCAAAATCTGAGGAAACCCGAAGCAACAACAAGCGACAGAATGCGTCAGTAGTATAGCTATAGGGATACTGTGACACTTCGATGGCCTGTCCATCCTCAGTCCCTTACCATGACCTCCAAAGCCACCTTGGAGGTCATTCTTCAGCAGAAGAATGACCTCTAAGACACCTTGAAGGTCATTCTTCAGCTGAAGAAGTTCTTANGCAAAAATTCTACTGTATTCTTATTAAAACTTTGTTTTTCACCTCAGCACCTTTAACACGTCCATACTCCATACTCGACCTACCTACTCCTAAATTCTTTAAAAAGACATTTCCTTAATTCGAGCAAATAACAATTGACGCAGTCAGTAGAATTTGTCAAGTAAAAGCAAATCCGATTCTAATAAAATTCAAAAATCGATTTACTAAGTGAATACGTGAAGCCGTTTGCTTTTTGTCGGTTCGGTAAAACGAAAAGAAAAAAACTGTCCAAACGAACTGTACAAAGTTCTGGGCATCGTTTAAGTTTCGTGCGTTCACCGAGTTAGCAATTTGAAGCCGCTTGCTTCGGCCTTGCCTAATAAGACCTCTGAAAAAAAGAGACTGTCAAAAGCACGTCTCACCCCGTTTTCCTCCTGCGAGGACCAGACCAAGTTTCGAATCATCCTAACCATCATCACACTAGTGGACTACTCAAGGTAGGTGGTTTGAGGATATTTGCCATTTTCATATTTTTGTACGAAAATCCTTTCCCTATTCCCTTATTGCTTTTATTATCGAATAATTTTTGTGTCAATTATGACCGAGCAGGGAGACAGTTATTCTAGGAAAGAATTAACCGAACTAATTCCAAATTTTGATGATGATTATATTCCATTACACCCGTTTGTTAAAATAGTAGATTTTGGTTTTGAAAAAGCAAAAGCCAGTGACTAAGAATATTTGTTTAGAATTATTTTAAATCGGTTATCAGGTCGTGCAGACGAGTGATTCTCGCAAGGCATTATGACAACTGGATAAGTGTCAAAACTTCATTACTTCAAACAGCTTATGTTTAATTGCAGACCTCACACGATTTAGATATACAAATAAGTTTTCCATTAAGGAAGTTGTTTCACGACATTACTAGTAAAAAGTTTATGCTAGAGTGTATCGTACAGTCAGTTAGTAGCCGTGATACCTAAGCCTAAAACTTCTAATTCTACTACTTGAGTGCGATAAATTGTTCGTTATTTATTAATTAATATCTCAGAAACAGTGTTGTAATAATTAATCAAATTTTTTTTAAAGAAGTTATTATACATTGTTTAATCTTTCTGTAGTTTTTTAAAACATTTGTAAGAAGGGATTCCAAGTTAACATTGTATTTCTAGTTAGCCTCGCCGGTATCCTGTATAGTACAATGTATAAGATCCGCAAAAACGCGAACTTTGAAATTAAATATCTCTGAAACTATATTGTCCAATAATTTCAGTCTGCACATATAGGTGAAGAAAAACTTAAATAATATTATGTCAAAATTTCAAAAGAATCCTAAGAAAACGCTTTTCATGGAACAACTACTTTAAAGAAACTAATAACAAAATTGCCAAAATTCGCTATGATCTTATCGCAGTAGCTATTGAAAATACTTCTGAGGATGCAAATCCGATTGATGTTCTGTCAGAGTTTATAGATAAAATAGCAAAAATAACATTTTTAAATAATATACCGAAAGATGTTGAAATATCTATTGCTCACACTCAAGCGCAAAGTTTAGGGGTAGCTTTTTTGTAAGCATATTCGAAGCATAAAAGATTAAAAGAACGCGAAGATCAGGGAAAATTCGCTCAAAATTTACATCTAATAATAATAAACTTCCTCAGTATAGAGTAATAAATACTAATAACAAAAACACATATTTTAAGAAAGAAACTAATAGTAATGAGTTATCTCCCGTACCCAGCTCAGTTGTTTGTTTATGTAGAAACGAGTTTCCGATTGCGGGGCAATAAAGTCCTGTAGCTTAAGTTAGCTTATTAGGTTTCCTTTAAATTACATGTTTCTTAGGTTGAGTTCGTTGATTATTACTATATCGGGACGATGTTTCGTAATAAGACTGGATAGTTGTTGGAATTTGGGTCGTAGGCCTTGTATATTGCAATGAAGTATAGATAGCTTATCCATTGGTGGCTAAGATTTGCATTATTTGTTTGGCTAGTGCCATACACTTTTTATTGACCACACTATTTGGGAGTGTAAGGTTTAATATGGTGGCTGTTATTTCCATTACTAGGTTAATAATGTCTGGGATGTCGTGTTTTGTGTATTCTTCCATCGATTCTAAGATTTTGTTCCTTTGAGAAAAGTTGCTGTCTGCTCTTCAGAGCTGGATTGTCGTCGTTGAGTTTGTATCCTGGTGTCCTTTTTCTTGTATAGGGAACACCGCTGCTGCGTATATTGTTCCAGATCTCAGCATATTCCTGTTTGGTATTTGAGGTATATGATTTCGCCCTTTAGGTTCCTAAGTTTTACGCGAGGTCTGCACTTTTCGATTATTATTAGCGAAATATTCACGGGCTTTTCGCTTTCGTTTAATCTCACGTTTAAATATTTCGCATCTTGCACTTCGGGCAGTGTGCCCCGGTTTCTTGCAGTTACTGCACACTTTCCCTTCCCCGCCACTGTCTGAAAGTACTACAGTTGACACAACTGTAGACAACAGACATGTTAATGGTTGTTGTCCGCAATTTCCTTTTACGTGCCCAATTTCGAAACAATTTTTTAATTGTTTTATTGCATCAACTTTAAATATAACTTTGTCACCAAGCGCGATAGAAACACGTCCGTTACTCTTGATCGATACTACGAAACTCTAACAAATTGGTAGTGAGTTTAGGAATGCACAAAATATCTGGAACAGGTATGTCAGACTGAGATTTATTCACACGCGTTGTGATCCGTGTGTCACTTGTACATATTACTGGCATGGATCATTTATTTGCAACACTGAATTCTCCATTCAGAAAAGGCCCTTGCTTCTATTCTGTTCTCGGGGCTCTGCTTTTGTAATGACCGATTTCCTTGCATTTATAGCATTTGATGTTTTGTTTGCTGATGACTTTGACGTTTGTTTTGACTTGCTGTGTACAGTGTTCCCAGTCCTAGGTTTGCCCGGCCAAAATGCTGATTCTCCTCCATTGCATCCAACATCAGAAGTCATATCGAGAAGTTTGGTCTTGCCGTTAGGCCGGAGTCATCTGGTAGACCCGCTAATGGCAAAGATCCAATCCATTCGTCACTAATTTCGAACCCTGTACTATT